ACAAAGGGTAAAATCCCTGCTTCCTACAAGCAGTGCAGTAAGATCTTGAGTGATGAGCAGCTACTAAAATGTTCACTTGGTGGTTTATCCAAAGGAAAGCTCAATACCATTTCTTATACCCTTATGGGATCTAGGTGCAAACAAGTAACTCTTCACTTGTTTATACAGGGATTTTTCCCTTGATATCTTTCTTTACATCTATTTGACATGTGGCTGGCACTAATATTTGTTGACTTGTGGGATGTTTCTCTGTTAGCTCGTCCAGAGCTGTTCTAAGCAGCTGTCAGCAACATGTTGATAAAAACATTCAGGTTTTTGTACCAGTGGAGCTAGAAAGCTTATAAGTGCCACCACTGATGTGCCACCTACTGAGACATCACCTCTGAAGCCACATCCTATTTAATTTGCTATCACAGCCTTCCTTATCTTGTGACAACTGACAGGATTACAGGATATGATGAGGCTTTTTTTTTTTAATGTTACTACAAAGAAGCACTTCGGGTATAAGAGTTTGGCTGCTGGATCAGGACAAGTGTTATAAATCTCAGGGTCCTTGATTTCATATAGCGGCAGGTTTTCTTTTATTATTATTATTATTATTATTGATGGTCCTTGTGGAGTTGTTTTTGTATTTTAAAGTAGTATTCTTTCAAAACCTAGAGGCAAACTCCAGTGGAGGGGAAGGTGTTAGGACAGTCATGAAACCATATGAACAAATTTGAATCTCTCCCTAAGAATACAGTGACCAACTAGTGAAGCCTGATATGGGCATTGCATCCTGAGGAAACCAGGAGGGTTGTTAGACATTAAGGGTGCCTGTAGACATGTGGGGAGACTGCTCTGATGCATTGTAATTACAATACATCAAAGCAGACTCGATTAATTGAGTCTGCTGGAGCGTACCAGTTAGCACACTCCAGCAACCTCCAGGTCTTGTGTATCAGTGTCCCTGCACTTCAAACTGGTGGTGGGGGTCCTTTAACTCAAGCTCATTCAAGGTCTCTAATTAAAGTGCCTCCCACCCCTGGAGCATGGGTAAAAAACACCATAACCTTCCCACATGTTATATGCTCCTAAGATGGGAGTGTCCATGCATTAAGGCAGGAAAAGATGAGCTAAGTGGGTTCTGAGTTTCTCAGAGTTACCCCTCTGTGGGCAAGGAATATCTTCAGCTGATGTTAGGCAGCTCATGTTGCAATATCATCCGTCTGCTCCACAGGGCCAAAATGAGCAACTTGCAATCCTCCAGCATCCCAGGATGCACCATCCCAACCCCCACTTCCCTACCCCATGTGTGGATAATCTATCCTCCCAGATTCTACTGCCCCAGGTTGCTGGGGAGCCAGGCAGCCAGACTGATGGTGACCTTGATAGCAGCTGCTGGGGAAGCTGAGCAACCAAAAGGCAAAGTTGGCAGTTCCTAGGCGCACCCAGGCTCTCCAGCCTTATGGCTGCAAGCCAGAACTGTTCACATCAGAAAGTATTAACCCTTCATATGCAACTGCTCACAGCAGATTCTAATTTTAAAGCCACATTGCATTTAGTGCATGTGAATTGTAATGTCTGACAACATCCCAAATCTAAAGTAGAACCTAAGGGCGTGTGTAGACAAAACGGGGGCCCTAAATTGAAGTGGTGGGTTTTAAAAAACACCACTTCAATTTAAGGCTGATTAAACCCCTGTGTTGTACATGCACCCTGCTGACTTACCTGGTTCTTCGGCGGGGAGGGGAGGGCGAGCTGCTGGCAGGTGAAGCAGTTCCTGGACTGCAGCGGGGGGCTGGTGCTTCCCTCCGCAGCAGCAGCCACCCCACAAGTGGCACCCGCATGCAGGCACCCAGCTATTATAGTCATAGTATCATAGTACTTAGGGTCGGAAGGGACCTAAACAGATCATCAGGTCTGACACCCTGGCCGGGACAGGGATGGGTGCCGGGATCATATCACCCCAGCCAAATATCTGTCCAGCCTCCTCTTGAAGACCCCCGAGGTAGGAGAGAGCACCACCTCACTTGGGAGCCCATTCCAGAGCCTGGCAGCCCTAACTGTAAAGTCAAGTGCCGGGGGCACCACAGCTGTGGAGAGAAGCACCGGATCCCCACGCAGCTCAGGCAGGCTCGGGGGGGCAGAAGATCAGGCTCCCCACTTTTCTTAGGCAGAGCTTGCTTCCCTGGGATGCTGCCAGGCTGCCTGCAGAGCTGCATGAAGCCCGGTGCTTTGCTCCACTGCTGTAGGGGCAGGAAACTCCAAGTCATTTAAGGCTCATTACACCACCAAATTTCCTACAGCAGCTGGAATTAGTGTGCAATACATTACCGAGGTGTGCAAACACCGACACCATTAAAGCAGTGCAAAAGCATTTAGCCTGCTTTAAAGTGTCATGCACACATGCCTCATTTTGTCTGCACGTGGCCTTCAGGTCTAGCAATACTTAATAGCTGTTGGCAGACTCCTCTGTCGATGCTGCACTTACGCAACACTTCCAAACTGCTTCTTCCCTAGCTTGAGCTCCCTGCTGTCTCCCCTTGGGCCTTTAAATGCTAAAGAATCACAATTGGGCTCCTACCCCAGGGCAGTCTGCCCCACTTAAAGGGCCAGACCACTCTGTTGCATCTCTCTTCCTCCCACCTTCAAGAGTGAAATGCAAGACCCAATCTTCTGCATTCAGTCAAACCGACCCCTTCTCCCCACAAGAAGTCTGCATTGGCACATGCCACTCTGGGGTAATGGCAGATGTCAAATGAATAAGGCTGCAATGCCAGGTACCAACACATGAGCCAAGGGGTTAGCTTCCATCATCACCAATGTAGATATACAGAAGAAATTTCCAACCTAGTCTAACTGGTGATGCACAAAGCATGTAAAAATGCAAGTACCTCTTTACTAGTAACTTGTGCCATTTTGAAGAGGTAGACTAACAGTGGAAGCTTTTGTTGGGTAGATAAGGTGTTCTCAACTGAAAATAAAAGTTACAAAAATAATTCAGTGAGCAGCTCTGAAGGTTTGAATTGGGGAGGGAAACAGTAAGACACAGGGATGCTGAGGAAGCTTTCAGAAATTGGAAAGAATATGTAAACCATCAATTACAGGGTCCAGCCCCAGGGATAGCCGTGATACCCCTGGAGCCCCCTCCAGCCTTGTCCTCTTTACTTTCTTTGGGCAATCTCTGCTTCAACTTGTAACTTTCCTTCCATGGATTGATGCAATTCATTTCAGAAAAAGGTAGGCTGTCCCAGGACTCCCCAAGTGAGATCTCATGTTCATCAACACAAGTGTTACTACTCATCACCTTAAAGGCCAATTATATGGCCTCCTTATCTCCCCTTCTAGAGATACCCAAGCCTTGCAGATGTTTCTAATCATTGAGTATTGAACCCCATTGTCCAATCCAGTAAATCTCATATCCATGGGCCTTCAGCCCCAGTGTCAACTGCAATCAATGCAGGCCCCTAAACTTGGAACAGCCTCTGCTACTATTGAGACCTCCAGTCCTGGTGCCCTTAAACATCCGAGCCCCTCCTGGATCTGGGCCTCTGCCAGTCTCTACCCTTCTTGGGTTTAGGCCTGCATTCTCTGCCCCTCTTGGGCTCAGGCCTCTGTCCTTTCCAACAGACTCTACCCCTCTCATGCTATGGGCCCTCTGGCCCTACTTAGTCTTACCCCTTACAGGATCCCCAACCCTGGCTCTTGCCCCTTGCAGGCTATGGGTCCCTGACCCTGCTGGCTCTTCTTACTGTCTGGCTCCTAAGCCAGTTGAGACCTCAACCACCCCTACTCTCAAATTTCTAAACCACCAGTCTTACTTATCCTGGCTCAGGTGTTAATCAGAACCCTTGCTAGAACCCTTCTGCTCAAGAGCTCTTCTTTCCTTGACCTTCACATCAAACCACCTACTTAGCTCAGGCTCTGGGTTTATATCCTACAAGCCTCCCTTGATTTTGGTCTCCCTTGATTGACTTCTGCCTCATCTGCAGCCTGCCTTTCCTTAAAGTAGCAGGAGCATCCACCTTCTCACTATACCATCTCACCTGGTTTGTTGATTTACAAGTACTGCAGGAAAAACTTGGGGGAAATAACTAACTCTCTTGACCTGGAATAAATCATGTTACAGAATTTATAGCAAATGTTTACCCCAGCTTCACAGGACTCTGAATGCTAAACCCAGCCTGTGTTTGCCATTCAAAATAAAAATTTTGTGCCACAACACAAAATGTTAAACATACCCCATGTTACTAGTTTTAGCAAGATTGATGGCACATTCATGTGTCAAATTATTCTGCAGACACATATGAAGGGGAAAAAATGAAAAATTGCTAGGTAACTCAGTTCATGAGTAATGACACTGAAGTATTAATTTTATGTAGAGTCATAGATAAATGTGTTGCTTTTTAAAGCAAATACACTGAGTCCCTGCCCCAGAGTGTTTCCTACAGGTCTTATCCTGTAAGCACTAATTAATTAGTAACTTTTGCTAAGTGGGGTAGTCTCATTGATTTCAATTACATTTAGTAGATTAGTCTTATGACTACCAGTGTTGCTTGGCATTATAGACATTATTTCTACATGAACTTTTGAACATGGTTTGTTATGGTCTACACTGAATATGAACTAGGTTAGTATCTTGTTGTTAATAGTACAATTGTTCACAAGTGGTCATCAGCTGTGAAATTTGCTATCCTAGCCAGATGAGCCATGGCAGCTCTGAGCAGCAGTCAATCTCCTTGTTAACTAGGTTTTCAAAAACTTTAGGAATATAGTGCACACACAACAAAGGCATCATTATATGGCATGCCTCATCCACTCGTACAAACCTGTTACACATTTTAGGTGATATTCAGGAAAGACAGCATTTACTGTTTCTGAGTTTTGTATGTACTGAACAGGGAAGTTGACTTTAATCTTCAGCTGCTTTTTTCAATGTATAGATGTTTAGACTGTTTTTAAAGAGCCCATTAGCTAAGACACTTCAGGTGCTTGAGACAATATAAGATACACTAGTTTTACCAGTCTCACCATGAAACCTCAGTTTCCTGTCAAGAGCTACGTCTTTTGAAGTCACTATAAGCTGATATTATGCATGTTTGCAGAGCAGACTCTTTTTTTGGTTTCCTTTTATAGAGAACTTGTTCAAAGTGCTGAGACAGACATGGAAATGAAACAACACAGAATGATGATGGGGAAGAGATGGTCTTTCTTGGCATTTTTCTTGTTTGTCCATGCACATGAGATAGTTGGTAAGTGTTCTAAATTAACTTTGTTTAAACTATAGACCAAAAACTGTTCTCGTAGAATGGTTTTCTTTAACTCATTTGTGTAAATGGTGTAAACTTGTTGTTTAATGCAAGGATTGTACTACTAAAGATATGTTTGTGCATGTGTAGGGGAGGGGGCAGCTTTCACACATCTGCAACCTGAGTTTTTAGCAATTGTCTTCACTAACATCTAAAGGTTTTTTTTAAGTTAGCTCTTTTTGTGGTTTCTTGTTGCAATGACCTCTTGCTCACTTTGGGGGAAAAATGTATTTGAAGAATGAGTACTTCACTCTGAATTAAGAGTGATACCCCACCTCTCACCTACTCAGATATGCAAGACTTATTAGACCACAGACTACAGAGTCATGGTATTTGCTGATTGAAACTCCTGAAAATATTAGGTCCCCCTATCATTGCATATATTTTAAAAGGTTGTTGTCCTAGTAAAAGGACAAGGTTATTACTAGATAAAGCATTTTCAGTGTCAGAATAAGATGTGAAGAAAGAGGAAAAGAAGAGTCACGTGTGTATCATGGAGCTTCCTCAAACAATTGCATTTACTGCAAATAAAGCTGGATCTGAAGTTTTTAGAACCTAATTTGAGAGTGCTTCAGTTTGGCGGTATGCTGTCGGCTGCAGATCTGAATGCTGAGGTTTCTGTTTTCAGTACAGAATTAAATACAGTCCTGTGAACATAAATGGATGCTGTGAGATGTAGCTGAATTTTATCAAAGATTGTGTTTAAAATGGAGTATTTTGGGGAAGGCAAACTGATCATGATCAAATTTGGAAAAGATCTTCATTTTTATCCATAAAATATAAAATCTCCTAAATGTTAAAAAAGCCAAATAAGATGACTAATGAAAACTCCTTCTACACACAAAAGGCTTTGTATATACCAGAGCTCAACAAACACAGATTAGGACAAAATTGTGCTATTCTTTCTGCAGGCAGCTTCCTTGTTTCAATTCAGTAGGGCTACTAGTGTTCAGCTCCTTTGCAAATCGGAGTGCTTTAAGTAAAGTGCCTGAGTTGTCTGTTCTACCAGGTGCTTTTTATGGATAAAAACTCAGGTAGGAACAAAAACTAAATATGGGTTTGGGGGCCTAACCTACGGTACTTGAATTTAAAAAAGAAAAATAAAACCCAAGTCAACATGAAACTGAAAGAGAAATAATTTGCAAGATATTGGAGACAATTTACAACCGAGCTGTAGCTCACGTTAGATAAAAGGGGCAAAGTACTCTGGTATTAATTAAGCATGGGAATGCTAACCTGAAGATTCCAAATTCCTACTTGACTTTTAGACTTTACATGTGCTATTAAAAATAGTTCCTCTGACATTTTTTTTTTTATCTGGGTCCAAGTCGAGTGCAGCAGCTGCATGAATACTACACTTGCCTTACCAAGTAGAGGTCTTGGGCCTGCCTGCTGGACAGACCCTGAGGTCCTTGATCACTTTCTACTTTGTATTCAGTAAGAAACTTTCAGTGAAAGCAAGGAAAACATTGCTAGAGTAAGGTCCTAGGTTCATTAAAAATCATTTAAAAAATAATCCTTCTCTCACACCACCCAAGCAAGCCTGCAGATCATAGTTTCTCCACCTCCCTGTTTGTTTACTGCAAAAGATGCATGTGATAAAATAATGAAATCCTGGTGATCAATGCTTTTATTACTTACTTATTTATATATGCATGTTGCCGGTCAAGACCCTCATTCTGCAAATTATTTTCTATGGTTCCTTGGGGCCTTGGCTTGTAAGGTCTTCAGGGCCTGCATTCTGTAATAAGAAGGGTTTCTACAGGATGTCAGCAACAAGAGGTGGACCAGGGAATGTGTGGGTCCTTTACTAAATGGGAGAAGCTACTTAGTGACAGAGGATACAGAAAAGGCTGAAATACTCAACAGCAGCAAAAGAACAGATTAGGAACTATTTAGAAACCTAGATGTGTACAAGTTCATGGGGCCAAATGGGATGCACCCAAGGGCACTGAGGGAGTTGACTGATGTGATTACAGGGCCTCTGGCCATCATCTTTGAAAAATCATGTTGATTAGAAGAGGTGCTGGACAATTGGAAAAGGACAAATATAGTGCCCATCTTTAAGAAGTGGAAGAAGGAAGATCCAAGTAATTACAGACCAGTCAGCCTCACCTCAGTGATGCAGGAGGTCCATTAGTTCCCTGCAGAGCCAAGGGGGCTGCTGTGCCCTTTTGCTGCCTTTCCTCCAAGATGGGATAGACATTGTTTGTGCTTCCAGGATTGCTCCCTTGAGGAGCAGCCACTCATCCTGAACTCCCCTCCCCTTCAGGTCATGGTCCCTTGGGGCCTCACAGACAAGCCTTCTGAGCTTGCCAAAGTCAGCTTTCCTGAAGTCGAGGACTTCTGCATTGCTGACTGACTTGCCTGCTTTACGGCAGATGGTGAAGGTGATCAGCTCACAGTTGATATCTCCCAGCTTCCCTTCGATTGTTAGGCTGCTGATTAAATCAACCCATTGCCAGTAGCAGGTCAAGCAGCACTTTGCCTCGCATCAGTCCATGGACTTCAGATAGAGCTCATCCGTGCACATGAGTAAACTTTGAGACCGTTCAGATTTGACCAAGTTTGCAGATGACACCAAGCAGGTGGGAGTAGTAGATACAGTGGAGGGTAGGGCTAAGATTCATAGAGACCTCAACAAATAGGAGAATTGGACTAAACCTTGTGTGGTTCAATAAGGACAAGTCAAAGTCCTGCATTTTGGATGGAACCATCCCATGCACCGCTACAGGCTGGGGACTGACTGACTGGGCAGCAGCTCTGCATAAAAGGACCAGAGGATTATAGTGGACAGTAAGCGGAATATGAGCCAACAGTGTGCACTTGTTGTGAAGAAGGCTAACAGCACATGGGGCTGCATTAGTAGGAGCATTGCCAACAGGTTGAGGGAAGTGATTCTTCTCTATTTGGCACTGGTGAGGCCATATCTGGAGTACTGTGTTCAGTTTTGGGACCCTCACTATAGAAAAGATGTGGACAAATTGGAGAGAGAAAATGGTTAGGGGGCTGAGACACGTGACTTATGAGGAGAGGAACTGGGTTTATTTAGTCTGGAGAAAAAAGACTAAGGGGGTATTTGATAGCAGCCTTCAACTACCTGAAGGAAGGTTCGAAAGAGGATGGAGCTAGACTGTTCTCAGTGGTGGCAGATGACAGAACCAGGAGCAATGGTCTCAAGTTGCAGCAAGGGAAGTTTGGGCTAGATGTTAGGAAAAGGTTTCCCACTAGGAAGGCAGTAAAACACTGGAACAACTTACCCAGAGAGGTTGTGGACTCTCCATCCATGCAGATTTTTAAGACCTGGGTAGACAAAGTCTTAGCTGGGACTTTGATTGGGGAGGGTCCTGCTTTGAGCAGAGGGTTGGACTGACTTCCTGAGTTCCCTTCCAACCCTAATTTTCTATGATTCATATCTGTTCACACAGTTCCTACTGCACTCTTAATTCTGCACAAATAACTTAAGGTACCTGCTAAATCACATGTTGGTTTTTTATGGCTCAGGCTTTTGGAGCACAGTACCATATGGTTCTAGCTAACTTAAAAACAAAGTGCAATATTTCTTAGAAAACTCAAAATAAAGAATTTAATTGGGGTAAACTGGAGAGAATGGGAGGCAAAAGTAATTGTAACTTTCTAGGGATCTGGGGACAGGTTAAGAACTGAAGGTGGTGACTAGAGGCAGGAAGAAGTTAAAATGTTGAATGAGTCTTATATTCCATTATTCAAGAGCCATGTATGCCAGTACACACTTTTTCCTGATGGACAAAAGGACAATGCAATGTATGGTATTCGGTGTTAAGACTAGTTGTTTGGTTAAGTGAATTTCACCTGGGGATGAAGACCATACACAGTAAAGGCAGGCATACTTTACACTATCTGTGAGCTTGAAATTCAATGGAGGCAATGGACCCTAAAAATGAAGCTTCTAATTGAGGAAACCTTTTCATTCGTACAATTAATTCTGTGTTTTCATATGACCTGCCAAAAATCTCAAGGTCTGGGGCCATGTAGCAGTCCCAACCTAAAATGCTGCCTTAAAAACTGAACGATAAACCACGCATGTGGGGCTGCTTGCTCTAAAAATAAAGTAAAGCTCAAGTAATCAAGCACTGAAGCTATGCACTAATGGAAAGATTATTTCCGCCTCCCGCCCCCACATCTAAAACTGCAGAGGTAACTGAAATAAGCAAAATGGGATTTTGATAGATGGGAGTCATACCTTCTGTTTTTGCCAAGACACAGAGAATAATTGTTAAGTATTTAAATATTTTAGTTACTTGCATGTACCTGTCATGAACCTAAGGGCTCATTGCATGTCCTACATGAATTGTCCCATTTGTTTTACTGAGATGTCATGTGTAGTCTCTACACATGACATCATCGAGCTGTGTTTAACCTTGTCATATGCACTGTGGTATTTGATGTAAGACGTATTTCTTATAAGTTTTATAACAGGGTCAGGATTGCACAATATGGTAATGATTTTCAAGCCTAAATTGCTGGAGAGCAGCAACAGTTTGGAATTAACATTTGACTTGAGTTGTTTGCCATCACCCACAACACAGACGTGTTTTGAAGCACAGGAGTCAGGCTCTTCCAGACACCTGGTTAGTCAAACTACTGGGGGAAACAAATGAAGTGCAGTATTATTAGGATATTGGATTAGTATGCCTGAAAGGCTGCAGCTGTTCTCTTGGTCTTAATTAGATCAGACAAGATATTTCTGAACTAGTGGTAAATGCACATCTCTGGGAGGCAGGAAGTTATGTGCATTGTGTAGGCTCCCCAAGAATGTGAGAGCTGATGTATGTGAATAGCCATAGAAACGCCTGTATTTAAGTCTGCCTCTAGAGCATGGTGAGATCTTTTTAGTCTGGTATTAATTACAATGGGTCTGGGAACCATGGGAGTTAATACTGTTTCCATTCCCTCCCCCTACCACACTGGCCATATTTCCAGGCCCTCTCTCCCATCTGCATACTGGACTGGGTTGGTGTGAGGTTGGTCCACAGCTGCACCAAGTCCAGCCTAGCACACAGCTTTGAACCTGATGCACAGAATCTGACCTGGCATGCTGGCTTAAGAGCCATGTGCCAGGTTGGATGTGGTGTATTGAGTCCAGAACTGTGTGCTGGCTCCCCATGCTGGGTCAGACCCAGCAACTGGCTCCAGAGCCAGCAGCCGGTCCTGGACTTAGTGCACAGTCCTGGAGCTGATACATGAGGTCAGACCTAGGACAGAATCTGGAGCTGTGCACTGAGTTGCACATGGTATGTGGCCCTAGACTCAGCATTTTAGGTTGGGACTGGTACGTGGCCCCAGACCTGGCATGGTCATGTCCCCACATTCAGTGTGCCTGATCACACAGGTGCACAAGCTCAGTCCACAGCTGGACCCAGATATCCCTATGCTGGGAGACGGGGAAGTTCTCAGGGTTGGTGTTTGGATCTGATCTGCGGCTACCGCTGCTTGCCTCCCCCAGATCCCTTAGACAAGGCAGTAAGCAGAGCAGCCTGCAGCCCTACACTGTGAGTGAGTTTCTCTGCCTTGGATTGCCATGTGGCTGTAGGCTGAGTCTGTTTGCCTGTTCATGGAGGCGAGCAGGCTGGCTTCAGGAACTACTACCCCTTCCAACTGTACCATCATGCAAAGCCAGATACTGTCAGGAAAGTTTCAGAGGAATCCCCCTTCTCCCTTTTCCCTAGCTGCTGCTACTCAGTTACCTGCCTAAGATAGGACTTTTTTTCATGATGCCTTTCAGAAACAGTGTATGTATGTATTACAGTTGAGGGTATGTCATGTGAGAAAATATTGTCATTTGAAAGATTTGCATTTGTGCAGGGATTCCTCAAATCCCTGCCTTTTGCTAAGAGGTGAACTTTTGATCCTTCTTGAAGTGTACTTGCTCCTCTGGTTCCTCTCCTGGTATTTGTACCAGTGCAGTGACCTGTTTCTGATAGCTGCTAAGCCTTCTCAGTGTACTATCCACTGATGTGATTTTAGGCCTCAGTCTATCATATGTTTGGAATTTGTTGGTGGTTACACCAAATAGTTTCAAAGACTAGAAGAGTTATGTCCATGAGCATAGCTTGCCTTGACAATCACTGTTTGTTTGTCTGTTATTAAGGCCTATCTGAAAGCACCATTATCAAGAAGGAAGCAGTTCATGCTGTCCCTGGTAGCAACGTGACCCTTATGTGCACCATCCTGAAAGAATCTGGGATCCACATAACACAGACACAATGGTCAAAGATTGAAGATGGACAACACAGAACAATAGCTGTTCATCACCCTCTGTATGGAATTCAATACTTACCATTACCTTTGGCTACTTACAGTTACACAGTAGTTTTCAATAAGAATCCTTACTACTGTTGGGAAAATGGTAACAAGACTTCCAGTTCCCACAGACCTCCAACAAACTCCTTGGAATGCAACCAGTGGATTCTGCATTTTCACAATGTTAGTCTTTCACTCAGTGGGCTGTATGAGTGCAGCTTTACTACCTTCCCAGCTGGGCTGAAGACTGCAGAAATTAACCTCACAGTAAAAGCAGAAGGTAAGCAATATTAAAATTATATTTTGGTTTTAATTAACATGGGGTGGTGGGGAGGGATACCCTGACAAGAATGTGGAGGTTTCTTGTTAGTCAGTAATTTGTTTTGAGACTTAAGATGCGCACTTGTATGGAGCTGACTAGACAGCTTGTTTCAGCTGTTGTCCTCTGCCCTAATGTGACTTGCATGTACTTAAGGCACTGTATTTTTTTATTTTTTTTTTTTATGATCAAAATGGTGTACTTTCATGTATTAGGTTGATGGTTAGTAAAAATGGGGAGGAGCTAAAAATTAAATGAGTGACAGAGAGGATGGATAAGGTGTGCCTGATAGAGGAAAATAGATGGGGCAGAAAAGGTAACTCTGGAGTGGCCAGACCATGCAGCTTCCTAGAGAACTGAAGAGATCCATCTCACAAATATTGCATCTGTGTGTGTTGAAATTACTAGTACTAGGACTGAGTATCAGAAGGGCTAGCTAGACTCTTGAACTGGTCTGAGTTGATGTAAGCTTGACTTAAAAAGAGGCTAGTTGTGGTTTGAAGTCTCACACTTCTGACTTCAAATGAACTAAAAAATAAATGTGGCTAGGCTTGGCAAGTTTCAGTTCAGAGTTGTACAGGATCAGAGTTCTACCTGGTGTCTGTCCAGAACCACTTCAGTGGTGTTTAAGCAACTTGGTTCAGCTTTTCCTCAAGATTTAAGGAACATAGCTCAAGTTCAGGAAAGAAGAATGGGAGAAACTTGGCATTCAGGGTAAAATACTGATTCCAAACACAGATTACCAATTGATTTCTGTGGCTCTAGGATATGGTCTGCTTCTAGACAGAAGAATATATCTTGCTATCCAAAAACAAATATATCAGCATGAACAAGCCAAAACTCACTGAGTCCCTAAGATTTCATATGTGTAATGTGACTTTGTTAATTATCCTGGACTATTATTTGACTTGTACCTATTACACCTGTTAAAACAAGAACCCACTCCTTTATTGGAAGTATGCTTGATGGTAGATTTTTAGTGAGGAAGGAGGTTCCAGTTTAACTTCTCTCCCAAAGGAATTCCTTACAGGGTCCAAATAGTTTCCTCTACGGGGAACTCTCTTGCTGTTCGGTTAATAGCAAAAGTAAATGAAATCAACGAGTGAAGAGAAATTTGTGGCAGAAGTGGTGTTGGTAAATGACTGAAATTTACCTGCATTCAAGGACAGCAGAAACAAACCTACCAGACACTGGAAAAAAAGGCAGCCACAGGAGTTTGGCCAAGCTTTCCATGCCTACATCTTTGTTAAATCAAACTGCACTTCCCTGCCGTAGTTATTGCAGTTTTATGTTATGAAAAACACTAGCTATGGGTAGGGAAGGCAGTGTGTCAGATAAGAATCAGACTATTCTCTTTGCATGGATTGTCTTTCCTCTGTTCTTAGAATAATGAAGCTTTTTTTTTTTTCTTCTCTCTCCTGGTATTTTGGACATCTGATGCTGGCCCAACATTACTCTTGCATAAACAGAGAGAGTTTACCAACCATGTTCATATGAAATCAGGCAGAAGGCAGGATAGAAATGCACTTTATAAACTAACTGAATCAAAGATTTATAAGCATTCATGAGCAAGACTTCACTTCATCAGATGCTATATGGCATGTATTTCCTCTATTCAGCACACCTCACCTCTATTCTGTCACTGTGTATAGCTATATAGCATCTGATGAAATGAACTCTTGCTCATGAAAGCTGATGCATTGCTGATTCAGCTAGTCTATAAGAGCCATCTCTATCCTGCTAAATAGCTTCAGTCTGGTTCTTTGCAGTAATTGCACAAAGGGCGTGTCTACGTGTCGCCATATGGCGACATTACTACAGCACCATATTTTAGTACTTCCTTTTGGAAGTACTAAAACACAGTGCAGTATGGGGCACTGTGCATGCTCTGCATAATCCCAGTTATGTTTCTGTAGTGACATGCTATAGCCAGGGAGCGTGCCACTATGGTAATGTAGCTGGTGATCACATGTAGACACACGTGATCACTATGTCACTATAGGGCAACATGTAGATGTGCCCAAGCTGGAGGACTGATGGGGCAGATCCAGAGAGGATGCAATGTTGTGGCTGCCCCCTTGCCCCTTCCTGACTACATGGCAGGAGCAGCAGCTGGGGTCCCCAAAAAGGTATGAATTTCTCACCCCCTCCCTTCCCTTGCCTTCTGAGGCATTATCTCCTTCCTTCCCACTCCCTCATTCAACACTTGCTGCTGCCAGCATCCCCACTGTCCTGGAGGCAAGGGAAAGCTCCTGCCCTCTCCAGCTGGGCTGTGTGGGGACTTGCTCAGCCCAGGACAATAGGGGAAGGGGTGTGCAGATGAGTTCTCCTTCTCTGCTCCTGCTCCCAGACTGGTGCTGAACACTCAGAGGGAGCAGGCAGGGGAACACTGGCAGCAGTAGCAGGTGGGGAAGGAGGGATGGGAGGGGAAGATATGGAGAGAGAAGGGGAGAGGATGTGCCTCTGAGCAGGAAGAGAAAAGGAGAGAGGGAATATCTTACTTACTTTGGGATTTACTGCTTCTCTGTGCAGTCTACCCATCCGGGGGGGAGGGAGCTGGTGTGAGGAGGCTAGAAGTGGAGGGGTGCAGCTACCCTTGTAACATTGGTCACTGCTCCTGCACCCCACTTTGTAAAATCCTGGATCTAACCCTGACTATGATGTACTGATAACAACTATCAGAAAGAACTGGGACATGCTTCTTGCAGACCTCTATGCTACGGTAGCCAGATCTTATGAAATAAAACATTTGAAATCAAAAGAAAGCAAAGTACATTGACACAAATCCAGAAGTGAGAGGAAGGAAGGCATTAGTAATTAACAAATAGCGCATTCAGCTGCATCAAAGTAAAATGAATCCAGATGAAATGAACTAGTCGATTTTTGCAACTCCCCTGTAAATCATCAGGGAGACAGCATGGGAAGATCAAACATCAAGGACTCTAGCCATAACAGTTATTGGGGAAATGAGTCAATGGATAGAAAAGATAGAGGGATTGACATAATGGCATGAATGCGGAGAGGCAGTTTGCAGAATAAACTCCTGCATTGACTTTGTTTTAACCACTTTTTCCTGTTTTGCCTTCTGACCATGTTTAAAACTTCCTGCCTTTTGCCTGTGGCAGGATGAATGAGATATTGTTCAGTTCATCCCAAGTGGTTCTATTTAGCTAACAAGCAGTGGTTCTGACTACTCTCTGGTTGAGTAGTTAGAGGTTCTGGTTCCAACTGCTGTTCCTTATTCCTTCTGCATTAATAGATGAGGGTCCTTCTGTAATGTTGTGTTTAGCTAGTTCCCTGACTCTCCCTCAAACAATAGCTTTCTCTGGAGCTTCCTGAGGACCAGATTATTCTGAGGATTTCATTTTTTAGAGTGTTTATACAAAGACTGCTTCCCAAAAAAGTCCCACTTCATCTTGGTGATAAGGGTTGGCATTGTTATCTAGAGGACTAAAAGGCATTACCACAAAGGCCACATATCCAATGAGCTGTGACAGATAAGCACATGACTAAAAGCCTTTAGTCTTGCACTATGACTTGTGAGCTAGATATGGGTTCTGAGAGATGAACTGGAGGAGGCAAGTTCAAGGGGTTCCAATCAGGAGAGGCAGGAGGCTGCATTTGGTGCCAACTAAAATTTGCCAAGTGGCCTTCAAGGGTACTCAAAGTAGATTACAAAGCATTAGTCAGCTGGAGATGACAAGGGCATGAGGAAATGGGTGCACTCTTGAAAACAGTGACTTTCCTTATTATGGTGAACTAAGAACAAACACTACATTTCGTCATAACATTTATGGGATATTTAAGGCCATGCAAGACAGCAACAACAGAACCAATAAGCTCCTGAGATGAGACATCCCCTGGGTAAGAAGCAGAGTTATCCTTGGGAATCTGACAAGCTCCCCCTTGTCAGATAGCATTGCATTTGTGTTGCTTCAGTTGAGCGCTATCAATACCAATCTGATTTCTGATACACAGCCGTGCAGCTTGAAGAGCAGTGTCCAGCTGGTAAGTCTGTTGTGGTGGGAGGGAAGGGGCGTCGGGGCAGATCAAGGCTCCTGTGGTGAGGGAGGAGTGGGGCTGAGGCTGGGGCAGGTGCTACCCAGCCAGGGTGGGATGGGGTGCTGGATGGAGCCACAGCTGGTCTGGGGGGCACAGGGAGGAGTATATTGCCCACCGCTGTGCGCACCCCAGGAGAGCACAGGGGGCATGTGCCCCCAGATTTGCGCAAGGTGGGGCAGGCTGCAGCTGAGAGCTGGGGCCAGGGCTGCACTGGGCTCTTCCCAGTGTGGGGGCTGGGCCAGGCTGCGTTCGGGGTAGGCAGCAGTGGTGACGGGGGGGGAGGGGCTGCAGCGACCCCAAAATTCACCATAGCCCCCCCAGCACCAGTGCCACCGCCAGCCCCGGGCGCAGCCCTGGCCCAACCCACCTCCATGCTGGGAAGCGCCCATGGTAGCCCTGGCCTCAGCCCAGAGCGGCAGCCCACCCCATCCACACCCCATGCAGATATGGGGGCACATGCCCCTCCCCATGCCCTTCTGGGGTGTACACAGCAGCAAGAGCTGACCCTGCCTCCTCACACCCCCCAGATCAGCTGTGGCTCCATCCCACCCTGCCCTGGCTGGGCAGTGCCTGCCCCAGCCCCACTTCTCCCCCACTGAAGGCCTTGATCTGCTCCCCACCATGCCCCTTCCCTCCCCCCACCCTCCACCACAACAGACTTACCAGTTGCACGCAGCTCTCCAAGCTGCTAGGCTGCACTCCTAGCTACCTACGTGCTGCACTGTGGTTGTGCACAGGCATTTATCAGCCACATTATCAGCCACATCAGGTCAATTTCTAGTACAGTCAATTTTCTTTATATCAGTGCCAATCCGATATCAGACCAATGTATCGGTTGACCTCTAGGGGTAACCCAGAATATTAGAGCAATAAATTACTGTGGCCT